CCACATCGTGCGTCAATTGCGCCTCGTGCCTCAGAGCCTCACTGCGCCTAGGTGCGCCTAGGCTACATGCCTCGCTTCAGTGTTGAAAAAGCCCCGTTCAGTGAGCATCTGCGCTTTTGCGCCTCAGGCGCGCTTTTTACAACTATGATAGCAGGGTTAAGTGACAGAGGATTTTCATTCATTTAAGAGGGGTATTAGAGTTAGAGGTTGAAGCTACACGTAGTGTTAGCTGAGTAATTTGGGTGGTTAGGTTGTTTCGTAGTAGGAATATGATAGCTCATTTAATTCGTAATGTCTATAAAAAATTATACTAATCAAATTAATTGGACTACGTGATTGTTCTTAATTATTACTTGGATCTGGCTGGAGCGTGGAGCAATGGAGCCAAGGCAGCGTGAGAGAGAAGGTTCCCAGCTGACTGCGTGAGCCAAGCCAAGGCCCAGGAAGGAGCGGTGGAGCGTGGCGTGCAGCGTGGTCGTGGAGGTCTGGAGCGTGCAGCCTTTGCCCTTTAGGGATTTCAATAAGAAATAGGGTGGGGTGGGGGGAGGACGGGTCACGGGTGTATAAGTATTTAATAAATTATATATATATATATATATATATATAATTAAGCAGGTACCCGAAAAAATCAATTTTTGTGACCCAGGTACGACCCGACCGGGTAATTATTTTTAAAAAACTACCCGGTTTTTTAGGTCCGGGTTAGGTTTTTTTACACACCTCTACTCCAAAGAACATGATTCGAGGAAAGAGTAAGAAATCAAAATCGGTATAATATAATCTAAGATCATTGCCATGATCTACAATTCCATACGTACACACATAGGAATTATAGATTATTTTGCGTGCCGAAAGATGTGGTCTGATGTTTACCTATACCTTGTTTTATGTTTTGGCAGAAAACTAGCTCAACAAGGAGTTCAAAAAGAAGTGGAACAAAAAAGAAAGAATCCATGGCACTAGGAAACACAGTATTTATAACAATGGAGAAAAAATATCTGTAACTCAAATAGTATGGTTCGTTTGCCCAAAGAAGACCTTTGAGGTTTTGCTTGGTAACAAGAATGAAAAGAGCTAAAGACCAACAATTTGGTTATTTATTCTCTTTTTCATCTTTCCTGCAAAGCAAGCCTGACACCGAGTTCAATTATTCCAGCAAGCTTAGGTGATTTTTCTTCAAGAAATACAAACAAAACAAATCGAAACGATTTTGCAGGCTTTACTTGATCTTTGTAGTCTGTAGCGTACACCATTTTCATTTTCAACTAAAAATGTAACCCTCAACATAAACATTGTTATAATGTGAAACCTTGATATGATATAAAAGCATAAAATGATAACCATTTTGCAGGCTTTGCTTTTTTCGTTTCATTTTAAGAGTTTCTGCCCGATATATTCTGCATGGAAATTTCTTCAAATACATGAGCAATTAAGGGGAGAAATTGTTATATCCATAAGGACCAACATATTCATATCTGATACACACTTGAATTCGAGTAACATAAATGTTACAAACTTCATTATAAGGGTTTAAAGAAGGCAGAAAGAGAGAGATGACAAAATCAATTCTACATTCCAAAAGCAAATTATCTTGGGTAATTCACAGGAGGTTCCAAGCTACCTACCAAAATCCCAAGGTCGATGTCTTTGTCTTCGAACTTTTTGATAAAGGGGTGACTCTGCATTAACAAAAGAAGTGGCGATCAATATAATTCCTGACAAGTTGATACAGTGATAAATTTTGACATGCTCATTACCAAATCGCCACGTTAAACTTACCAAGAGGTCCAAAGATGATGCTCTTTCTCTAGGGTTCTTCTTTATGCTAAAAAGGGGAAGGGAACAGACAAATTAGAAAGCTGTTTAAATAGAAAATGGCGATGTAAAGGATGAAGCAAATAAAGAAATGAAATTGTGGTATATAAGCTTGCACATGAAAATAAAATGAAGTCCAAATATATTCTCTTCAAAGAAAATTGTAGTATATTACGGTATACTCCACTTATTAGACACGTAAAATGAGCCGTTGAGGATAAATGTATCGGATTGTAATGATGTTAGTAAGGTAAGAGTACATCACTCAATGAACTTGTGCATCAATATCAGATAAACATTGAAGAGGGTTGCAAGCTATGGCAACAGAATTCCGGGAACCAAGCACTTACTTGATAAATGAATTTGATGAGATGATATAATATGTAGTAAACGTTTTAAGCATTTACCAGGCCGATACAAATGAACAGAACTCTGGAGAAAATTGATCTGATGGAGCAGTTGGTGGAGGCTTCTCCACAATGGCCTGCAAGAGCTCATAAAAGCTAGGCCAACTTTGCTGATCTTCAGATTGCATATAGGGGAAACGTCCAATAGCACATTCAAGCACTACCATTCCCAAACTCCATATGTCACTGCTATAGTCATAAGTGCTCCCACTGATTCTCTCCGGCTACAATTAGAAACAAGAAGATCAAGGTTAAAGTTTTATATAAAATCTTAGAGAAAATAGGCAGGTTAAGCAAAGTGAATCACTAGATGAATGACAGATCAAAGTTTTATAGAGTAATTTAAGAAGTGTGGACATTTCACATACCGACATATAGTTGTAAGTTCCAACAAATGTATCTCTCTTGCCCATAGAGCTTGCTAGCATTGCACTGACACCAAAATCAGTGATCTTCACTTCCCCTTTATGGTTTACCAATAGATTGGATGGTTTGATGTCCCTGTGTATTACATGCCTTTCATGATGCAAATACACAAGTCCCTGTAGAACCTGAAAAACAAAAAAATATATATATACCAGTAGAAAGAAGAACTCACTTGTTTGGCTGTTGATATAACTTTGTTTAGGTCATCCATAGAATTTCAGTTCACAAAAAGGAAGAATACCTGCTTACACACAACTGCAAGATATGGTTCAAGAATTGTGTTAACTTGTCTGATCACATCAGCCAGAGATCCACGGTCCATGTATTCTAGAACCAGGGATATGGCCCCATTGTGGTAGAAAGAATGATAGCAAACAACAACATGTGAACATTGTGATGCTTGGTTTATTTTTAGCTCCTGCACAATTTGCTTGCGAATTTCCTCTTGTATGTTCATTTGAATGACCTGCAGTTAATAGCAATAAACTTATAGGAGCCTGTTTTCCTTCATTTAACCACCGTGTTGCAAACATTTCAAAAAAAATTACTACCACATAATATTTAAGTCAATATTCAAGCAGATATAGTGCAGTGATAGTGAAGATGTTTAATGTTAATGAAAACCAGGAAAAATGTGAACGCCGTTTATGAGGATTTTGTGTCCCAGTTCTAGAAATCAAACACTCATGAAGAAATGGAACATGGCTTCTACTATATGTAGATCTGCAATAAAATAAGACTACATTTATGGTATGTCAGTCTTGAACAATTACCTTCAAGGCAAACAATCTTCCATCCCATTTGTGGCGAACAAGTTGAACTACACCACCACTTCCCTTACCGATAACTTTGATGGTCTCGAGGTCTTCCAATGAGAATTCAAAATCAAGCTCCTTGCCATCAGAAGGCTGCTCAAAGGACCCAAAAAGAAAAAGAATGTCTTGAGTCCTCAGAAAATTGATACCAAAAGGCTAAAGGTTAAATAACTCTATGCGAACTTCGGAACTTGAACATGCACTGCTCTATCACAACTAGCTACCAACATGTTTCAAACTAAAACCACAAACACAAAGCACTCAGACTTTGGGAGATGGGGATAACATGGATTTTTGAAGAGCTAAATAAGGGAAAACAATTTGAAGTGTTTTACTAATCAACTGAAGAAGCAAGAAGATCGTGAACAGATAATTTGGATAACGTTGTCATTGCCTCTCAATACTGCACAGCGCCCTTTCAAACAAAGGTGCACTTGCAACACAATACTAAATTACTAACAAAAGAAAAAAAAACAATTGAGTTACAGTTTTCTGTATGGACATACCAGAAGTGAATTCCGAGAACAAAGTAGTAAGAACCCCCTATTTTAGTTAAAGGAACTTACTCGATAATCTTTCTCCTCGGAAATAAGACGCAACCCTTTCTGATTTAGAAGCAAATCCCCATCATGAAATGTCCCACTCGCCGTCCTGAACACATTATAGTAAAAGATATTCATATTCAAAATATCCCCACCGACATTTACCGGCAGAGAAACAAGAGAAAATGAGACGGAAACAATGAATCATCAAGTCATACACTTTTATTCAAGAAGCGATTTCTAGTAAACTAAAAAGCGACACTTTGATCCAAAATCGAAGCCACCTTGAAATATGCTTAATAGGAAACGAAGAAACTTACAAGAAAGAAGAGATTGGGGTTTCTTGAGCTGGAACAGAGAGCTTCAATTGCTGCAATGGCTTCTTGCTCTTCATTTTCTTTTTATTTCTGAAAGATCTTACTCAACCGTTCAGTTAGGGTTTTTTTATAGAAATACAAATGGTAGTGCTTTCTTCTTCTTTTTTATAATGTTTTTTTTTTTTTGAGAGAGTGAGGATGGATTCGTTATAAATTCAAACGGGAAAGACCGCGTACAAATTATTCAATCTTTTTCTATATTTTAATCTTAATTCAAATTTCATTATAGGTAAAATAACTATTTAGTCCCTGTCTTTTATTATTTTCTGTCGGAATGATCCCTAGGGAATAAAAAATTAAATTAAATTTCGTCAATAAAGTTGTCTAAATGTATCAAATAAACAAATAAAGTTGTTTAAGGCTCACATTGTACCCAACTCGAATTATCGTGTCTAGATATTATTTTATTCAATTCGAATTAGTTTGGTCTTGAATCTACTCCAATGACAATTTGTAGATCAAAGTGAAAATATTCTTTAGACGTTGGTTTTTAGTACATATCTGGTGAGATAACATAAAAATGTAGTGTGTATTGAAAGAAATGGCTAAAATCGGCAATTTTGATCGCGAACAATCGCATATCCGAAATGGAAAACGCTGCCAGCGGAGCGATTTAGGTAACTATGGTATAAACCACCTAGAACACTTCATTTAACCACCCAAACCAAAATCCAAAATGAGTAGAAAACACATTGTTTTATCACCATTACAAACACCGACCATTTGGTTTCGGAAACAGATTCCGTCGAGTTTCAACTGCATCCAACCATGGAATCGGGAAATGGAGGATATGGGTTTGTATAGAAATAAAGAAGAATTGAACAAATAAGGAACACCAACAGAGATCAAACACCCTGGTCAAGGAGATAATCACCAAGCTTTTCGACAACCATGTTGCACTGGCCGGGAGACATTGGTTCATCGTAGATTCCGATAAGCTGCATGTAAAAAAAAAAACCAACAAGAAAAAACATCGCAATGTAAAAAAAACCAACAAGAAAAGACAAGTGCATACAAAAAGCAACAAGAGCACAGCATCAATGTACCAAATTTAGAGTAATTAATCGGGAATTAAAATCACTCGATATGTTGAAGTGCTGCATAAGTTTGAAAATGATGTTTTGGGATTCCTCCAATAAAATTGTTACGAATATTCACAAAGAAAATGGCAATAACATCGCAATAAATTCTCTAAATCTTGAAAATAACCCTGAACTTTTCGGGCTGGATCAAGATGGAATTCGGCTCATAGAGCTAGAAATTGTACTTCAAACAAAATTTTAGAAGATCAAATCTACTTTGAGTACTAATAATGTAAGATGGACAAAGGAGAACTAAAAACAGATGAAGAATATCACCTTCTTCCCTCGAATAACGGCTCCCGGTTCACCTTGGATCACCATGTATTTTGTGCCACCAAGGTATAATCCAGTTGGAGCAAGTGATCCAGGTTCAGCAAAGTCATTCGTGATCGCATTCATTTCTTCTTGCTTGAACTGAAATTAACATAAAAACTAGAAGCAATAAGCACATATTGATTTAAAAAAGGAGCAGAATGCATCGAATTTTACTCTTAGAAGCTATCTAAAATGAACTTTAAACTAGAAAATCGAAATAAACAGGATTAGCACTCTCTGATAACTATTATCATCATTGCTAAAACCATGGCCATTTGCAGAGATCCTTTAGCATCTAAAACTAAGAAAAATAAACAAAGCCAGATATCAATACAGATTCTCAATCCATAAAAGGATAAATCAGATTTATTATCGGCAATGAGTGAAAAAACATCGATGCTTTTGGAGCAAATCAGTTCAGCGACTGAAATTCAATTATATAGCAAACAAATCAACTTATTGAGAACATCAGCCTATTTTTTTCACTTTTCAGATAACTAACCCCAAAATTGGCAAGGGGTGAAGAAAATCCAAAGGGTGAAGAGTTAAAAGGAGAAGAAAACCTGAGGAAACTGGAGCTCTGGGCCCAAATGCTGCCGTCGTGGACGACGATAGCAGCGGCAGAGAGATGGTTCCCTTCAATTTAGCACATCAAGTGATCATCTACATACGATTGCCACGACATCTTCTTCTTCGTAGATTTTTTTTTTTTTTTAAGTTTGAAAGTTAAGAAAAAGGCTCGAAAATGTCCGACTTTAAAGAGACGAAACTGAGCTGTGAGAGGGACACGGAGATACAGCACTGAAACCACGGGATCTGTCGGCCTTTTATTTTCAGTCAAATCCCTCTACTATGTGAAAATTATAGATATAATTCTTAAACTTTAATTTTATTACATTTAGTTTCTTCACCTTTCAAATTTTGAAATTATGGTATAAAAATTATGATTTTGATTTAAATTATAATAGTGAATTATATTTGATCAAATTTTATTATTAATCCAATAGATTATATATAATGTTTGTTCTCCAAGTGTTTTCTTATCTTTTTGGTTCTATTTAAACATAATTTTAATCTAAATTACAAGTATAGTACTTTTAAATAAGAGCTAAAGTTAATGTAGTGATTAGACGTGAGAAGAATTTTAACAAGGTTTTGAGTTTGAATCATAATTTCATTCATCAAACAATCAGACCCATCACTTTGTGACACACGTAATCAGAGTATTATTAATACATCGCGACCGATAATCATTTTACACGTTTTTTTTTAATTTGAATGATTAAAATAAAATATTTGATGGTTAGATTATCATTTGTGTAATTATCCTATATTTAATTTTTGTTTACTTAAACCATATCTATTGGGCCGAATCGGTCACTCCACAAAGAACACCTGGTCCATTACGAGTTCAAACCAAGAAAGCCTAAGAATTTAGTTGGCAATCTTGTCATGTCTCTATATATTTAGAGGTAATTATTATTTGTAATATCTTTATTCTTAATTTCTTTTTTATCTTAACAGACAAAAATAAAGCTAAATTTTATATTTAGCATGTAAATTATCATATTCGATCCGTTTTAGTATTTAAATTTTTAATTCTTTTAAAATATTATCCAAACGTTTAATTTTTGTTTCATTTTAGTATTTCGTCTTGAAAACTTAACGGTGATTTGTATGTGGCACTTTTTTATGGTTAAATTGCATCAATCATCACTCAATTATCTTCTCACTCCTATTTTGGAAACTAAAGTTTAATTTTTAAATTTAATTACTTAACTTTCAAATTACTCCTAATTTAATCACTCTAACTTTCAAATTTATTTTTTATTTTTAATTCTATATTAATAAAATAATAATAAAAATATCATGTCACAAAAATTATTAATAAAGTAAATTAGAGTGATTAAAGCAATTTGCAAGTTGAGTAGTTAAATTTAAAAGTTTTAAACTTTAGTACTAAAATATGAGTGAAAAAATAGTTGAGTGATGAATGATGTAGTTTACCTATAAAAAAACTAAAATCCGGCAAAAACTAAGCATTGCGTTTGGTTTTGAAAAAATTGAAAGTTTAGGTATTAAAATGGACTAAAATTAATAGTTTATGTACTAAACGTGTAATTACCCTAAAAATTAAAAATAAATTATTTATGTGAACATTCTATCTAAAAAAAATGGGTTCAAATTTGACCAAGTTAAAAAATCATCAAATATCGAATTAAGTTAAAATGGAAATTTTCAATCTCTAAATCAAGTTTAGAGAGTATATATCAATCCGTATCCATCCCAAGGTATGATCTCTTTTTTTTTTTTTGAAAAGGGATATACTTTGTAATTGAAGAGAAACAATACAAAGTACTTCACATCTAAATGCCTCGTTAAAAACCTCCCTAAACCTATCTGGAGGAAAAAGAGTGCGCTTTGGAGTGAACAGGCTAGGAGTGAGCATCTCAACCCACAAATTTCGGTTTCTCTTAGTTCATTTTTACTCGTAAAGTTAACCAAATAAACAAATGAGCAGACATTGCAACAGCTCCATTATATTTTATATCTATATACATTAAACAATGTAAACATTCACAGCATATTTCAACTTCCAAAGTGCTTTTGGGGAACAAATCATGAAATTATAATGGATTAAATGGGGACAATCTCCAAATTGGGCACTAGATATTATTATAATGATACGCAATCCACTATATGGTTAATTCCTACAATTTAAAGATGACCCATCGGGCCATCTCCATTGTTTGCATCATGCAATAGTAGATATATATTTGTCTACATTGACATGAATGAGATTAATGATAATTTTCAACTCCATTTTAAAAGCCTATTGAAAATAAAAGATTTGGATGAATTGGAACATGCCCCTGAAAAGTTGTGAACCCATATATCAGCCCGGGAAGACTCCTGGGCATTGCGGTAAAAATCGAGGTTGTTGATGATGACAATCAAATAGAATCGGTCTAACACGAGAATTCTTTCAAATAGGTACAATGGATTTTCTTTTATTAAACCGATGTAATTACAATATAATATTTGTTTAAAGATAATTTTTAATCATTTTATATTATATTTTCACAACTCTGATATCTATGATGTTAAACTCGAATCCTCAATAAATAAAAATAACTTCTTTATTACGAAAATCACACACATTTCATTCCTACGATCCAAGATAAACTAACTTTAACATTCATCTGTCACGGGTTTGATCATTTTGATAAATTAACCTTAATGTTCATCTGTCACGGGTTTGATCATAAAATGATCACCGCGCAAAGAGACTAATCTCGAAACTCGAACCTCAAATCAAAGCTGTCAATCATGGAAATAAAAAAAATGTTAAAAAGTTTGCAAAAGAAAAAGACCACGGAAGCGAGCTGCCATCCAATATGGTAATGAAAGTTATTGCATTGGGTTTTGCTTTACTCATTGATTCACATGATGTAATTCACCATTTCTGTTTTCTTGTAATGATTATAAGCATTGTTTGTACAACACTTATAAGCCCACCAGACAGGTGAAACAAGCATTGCACGTTGACCCCCTTACAGGTGAATCGTGCATGCGCAGTTGTACTGGTTGGCCCTTAAAGCTTGAAACCTGATGAACAGATTGTTGATAGTGGAAAATTCTTAAACGGGAAGAAGGTGAAATAGGGCCCCCGTTTTCAATCACCTGTCGTGTGTGTGCCCATAATAAAATGATGACCGGGTTTGGATATTCAATTGCCACAAGGGATTTGCTGAAAAATTCACACATGAAAAGTTACTCGTTCAACAACTGAAAAATAAAAGCCCAAAACTTTATAAGAAAGCTTTCAACAACAGACAATCTCTACTCTCTCGTCTCTCATCAATGCCCACAGCCACATTTTGTAACAAGCAAACCGCCCATCACTGTAACCATTCTTGGCGCCTTCAAGAAAAGAAATAAAAAATGGAGTGGAGTTGGTTCCTGGTTTTTATCCTTTGGCAGATGATGACTCCATCAGAATCGGCGGCCATTGCCGTGGGTGGTGGCGTTGGCATTAATATTGGCGGCGGCGACGGTGTTTGGGTTGGTGGAGGAATCAACAACAATCCAACTCCATCTGGCCCTTCAGCGTCAAAGCTCAACAGTGCTTATACTGCTCTCCAAGCTTGGAAATCCGCCATCACTGATGACCCATTGGGCGTTTTGAAGACTTGGGATGGCTTAGATGTGTGTTCTTATAAAGGTGTGTTTTGCTCAGATCAACAAGGTGGAATGGATTCATCAAATGGACCTCCCGTGGTAGCCATAGATCTCAACCATGCAAATCTTCAAGGTATTCTAGTGAAGGAACTCTCTGCCCTTACAGATATGTCAATCTTCCATCTCAACAGCAACAGGTTTTCAGGCACAATCCCTGATACTTTCAAAGACCTTTCATCACTTCAAGAGCTAGATCTCAGTGGCAACTATTTCTCTGGCCCTTTTCCTATGGTCACTTTAAATATGCCAAATCTTGTTTATTTGGACCTTAGGTTCAACACTTTCTCAGGATCAATCCCTGATGGTCTTTTTAACAAGGGTCTTGATGCCATCTTCCTCAACAACAACCAATTTGAAGGTGAACTCCCTTCAAACCTGGGGAACTCACCAGCTTCCGTGATAAACTTGGCCAACAACAAGTTCAATGGAAACATACCATCTAGTTTTGGCTTCATTAGTTCTAAATTGAAGGAGATTTTGCTTTTGAATAACCAGTTAACAGGCTGCATCCCACAAGGTGTTGGGATGTTCTCAGAGATGCAAGTCTTTGATGTGAGCCGTAACTCACTCATGGGTCATTTGCCTGACTCCATATCTTGCTTGACAGACATTGAGGTTCTCAATTTGGCACACAATAAACTCTCTGGTGTTTTGCCTGACGTAGTTTGTTCCCTAAGGAGTCTTATGAATTTGACCGTTGCCTACAATTTCTTCTCTGGGTTTGGCCAAGAATGTTCCAAGTCTTTCTTTAGGGATGTGGGTTTCGATTACTCGGTGAATTGCATCCCGGGGAGAGACATGCAGAGACCCCAACCTGAGTGCAGTGTTATCCCTGGAAGTGGGTTGAGTTGTCTGAGAATTCCTTCTCCACAACCTCTAGTGTGTGCAGCATTGAGTGGGAACTTTAAGACTAATCAAACCTCATCCCCATGATGTCATGTTGCTGCTGCCTGTCAATTCTCCCATTCATTAATAGCAATTCATTTGTTAATGGATTCAATTGCACCTCTGTTACTATATTTGGTTAATTATGAATGAATCCATGTTGAAAGTTTGCCAGGTTTTGCCTTTGGTCAATTCATCCGGGTTTTTTAATTAAGATAATCTTTTTCTCTGCAAGATTTCCCTACTTAGTTCCATCAAAGGAATGAGGCGTTGAAGCCTTATTGCTAGCTATGTTTCTTATAAGTCGTGCAAATAATACCTTGGCCTTGGATTCAAGATTTTTCATTTTTTGCATGACGATTCCACTATATTACTCGAGAGCATAATTGTATCTTTTAAACCCTAAACTAGAGAATTCATCCATATATTACTCGACAAGGACCTGACTTTTATGTATTCTTTTTTCGTCGAGGTGCACGCCATTGAATCCCGAATAAATTAATACAAAATACAACTTGAAAATTGTTCCACAGAGGGGCAAATGTTCTAACATATACACCAACTCTTTTCCGGTCAAAATGTATCCTCAGAGTAAAGAATAACTCATGAATTTGCTTGTCATCTAAAAAAAATCTTGAAATTGTTTAGGGTAATTGATAAAAAACAACAAAAAATAAAAATGTGGGGACATTTTCCCTAGTCATGATCAAAATCATGAAATTCAGCATAAAAACATACCAGTATACCATCCGTCTGCAGAAGCTATTTCAATAATCGATTGTTTGCTGGGAATGAAACAATTTTATTGTTAAAAATGGGCGCATCTTGTCGTAAAACAACTCGAAGGTATTCAGATGCATAACACTAAAACAGGTCGGATACTCATCAAGTTCGACCCCTGAAAGCAATTTTATTGTCACTTGAACTTGCGGCTAACTGAGTCATAACTTGGGATGCTAATGACCGCAAAATACAAAGAAAAAAAGCCAACAAGTTAATATCCATGATGCATTGCGGTAAGAGAACTAATTCAGTGGTTTAGTTTCGAGTAAACTCCAAACTACCATTTCCATATGATGCCATTGTGAGAGGAGACGATAGAAGCTTTTGGGCCACTAAAGAAATATCCTTCAGTGTAATTTCATTGATAACCTTCAAGAAATACTGCACAGGTTTACTGATAAATCCAAAACCATTTTATTACAGAAAACAAATTATCGTAGTTTTCTCATTTCATATAAAGTAAAGGCAAATATTGATAGGCCAAAAGCTATGGCACTCCGGCTTGGGCATGAGTGATACATAAAAGTGCATGCCCAACATGAGTATCTTCATTTATTTTTGGCCTTTGTATACCATATCCTCATTCCCATATATTGATATACATATAACATGGTATCAAACGTAGATACGTTATGAAAAATAAAGAGTTGAAGTAACATCACTCATCACAACGAAGGACAAGAGGTAAGAACGTAATAAGTCGTACCTCTCCCCCCATATGTCAAGACTTGTTTCCCAATGTCTTCTGAAGCAACCATCTGCACAAACAGATTGTAAGTGAACACTAAACAACAATGTTTGGAGTGGAAATATGAATCCTTGATCAGCATCATTAAATTCATCTATAATCAAGAAATTAAAGAGAATAGTTTACGTACTCTAGATTCCAAATTCATCAAAATTGCAGATTTGGTGGACTGTTTAGCACGGTCTAGCTGTATTTGGTCAACTGTAAAGAAAACATGAAAAGCATTTCAGAAACAACCCACTGAATAAACAATGCAGGAAAGATACTAGTTGATGAGTTCAAGAGCAGCCAACCATGTCCAGGTGTTGCGACAGCAATAAGCTCCTTAACAGCTACATCAACAGCAGTTGGTGCAAAATCAGAACCCTGAATTCAAAAACATCAGTATCATCCAATAGAAAAGATATCAGCAGAAAGTGTGTACACATTACAAATCTGGAATAAATTCAGTGAAAGGCCAAGAGAGGGGAAAAAGAAGTGCCTGAAACGGTAAGTATCAAATATGCAACAGTGGTTACACAAAGAAAACATTCAAATGCAAATTACTAGCACTGACAAAATAGAAGTCTGGCATGAAAAACAGCAATAACAGACTTGGATGTGAGATTACTACCCAAGCAAAAGATTAATAATTAAAGAGAAAATCGCCTCAGTGACCAAAAAAAAAGTTATAATATACGATTTTAACCAACTTTTTTTGGATTTGCCAAAATGACCAACAAAATCGCAACGCGAAATAAAAATCGCAACGCGATCCCCAGAATCGCAAATCAGTTTCCAAAATCGCAACGCGATTCTTGAAAATCGCAATGCGATAGTACAAATTCGCATTGCGATTTTCCAAAATCGCAACGCGAATATGAAAATCGCAACGCGAACACATAAATCGCAACTCGTATCCGTAAATCGCAACGTGTATCCGTAAATCGCAACGCGTATGGGTAAATCGCAATGCGTATCCGTATATCGCAACGCGTATCCGTAAATCGCAACGATAATACATAAAATCGCAACGCGTATCCGTAAATCGCAACGCGATATTTAAAGCGCCATTATAATCGCTACGCGTATTTTATTTTCAAATTACAAAAACGAATATTAAGACAAAATCCCGTAATCGCAACTCATAACCTAAAACCTAAAATCACAACTCAGTCCCATCTCCATCTCTCACTCTCTACGGCGAAGAAATCCGTCCCATCTCCGAAGATTTCCGTCCCCATCTCCGGCGAAATCCCTCACAACCATTCACGGTCAGAAATCCCTCACAATATTCAGAAATGGAAAATCAACCTCCGAGGGTTAGTTTTTTTAATTATTTTTATTTTGAAATGTTTGCATTATTGTAGGTTTTTCATATTGAAACTGATGATAAGTTTACTGGTCATTTCAATAATAGATTAACCATTTCACTTAGATTTCATTTCGCGTTACGATTCTGTCGTTGCGATTTTCATTTCGCGTTGCTATTCTCTCGTTGCGATTTTCAAGTTAGTATTTGTCTTTGTCTTTGTTCTGTCTTTTGGTTGAAGTAATGCAATCCATTCAAGTTTCAATTTGCAGAAGAGTCGCAACGAGATAAATGAAAATCGCAACGAGAGAATGACTGTCGCAACGAGAGAAATGAAAATCGCAACGAGAGAATCGCAACGCGATATGAAAATCGCAACGAGAGAATCGCAACGCGAAACCAAAATCGCATTGCGATTTTCATTTCGCGTTGCGATTCTCTCGTTGCGATTTTCATTTCGCGTTGCGATTCTCTCGTTACGATTTTCATTTCGCGTTGCGATTCTCTCGTTGCGATTTTCATTTCAGCCAAAAGACAAAACAGTGTTGCAAATTTTAGTTTCAAGAATAAACTACTACTTTTTATGTTTATTTTTTTGGTATATCTTCACAGTGTAGTTTTTGGTATATCTAACTTGGTATGTTTATTGTTTTTGTAGAAATTTTTTTCGGCTCAATTGACCTTGAGAAATAAAGTCAGCCTGGCCACTACAATTGCTTCGAAGCTAAAACCTGTTGCCGGATTGGGAAGGATGTCGTTGGATATAGGAACGGATGTCGCCGGAGAGAGTGATAGATGGAGATGGAATGAGTTGCGATTTAGGGATTTAGTTTATGATTTCAGTGTTATATACCCAAAATTTCAGTGTTGTGATTTACAGATTCTCGTTGCGATTTACGGATTATCGTTGCGATTTACAGATTCTCGTTGCGATTTACGGATTATCGTTGCGATTTACGGATACGCGTTGCGATATACGGATACGCATTGCGATTTACCCATACGCGTTGCGATTTACGGATACACGTTGCGATTTACGGATACGAGTTGCGATTTATGTGTTCGCGTTGCGATTTTCATATTCGCGTTGCGATTTTGTAAAATCGCAATGCGAATTTGTACTATCGCATTGCGATTTTAAAGAATCGCGTTGCGATTTTGGAAACTGATTTGCGATTCTGGGGATCGCGTTGCGATTTTGTTGGTCATTTTGGCAAATCCAAAAAAAGTTGGTTAAAATCGTATATTATAACTTTTTTTTGGTCACTGAGGCGATTTTCTCATAATTAAATGTGGCCATAAGGAAAAAAAACTCCAGCATGACAGTTTGGCAAAATCATGACTATTTGTAAAAGGACAAAACACTTGAGAAAAACACGGTAGAGCTTAAACCGATTCCATTAAAAATCCTTGGCTACAGTGACCCTCCCTTGGCAATCATGAATCATACCTATACTATCCAAGAACTTTCCTAATTAAGTTTGATTCCATCAAAATTCAAATGAACTCCAAAACCACACTGTCCCATAATACAATCAAACCTGTTCTCAAGACATAATTTTCCAATGATTTTGGCCAAAGTTAGCGACTTGAACATCTGTAATGCCAAAGATGAGCAAGAAAAAGAAAGAAAAGAGAACAGTAGACGTTGGGAACAAAACCTTTCCAACAGATAAAAAACTTCAATAAATCAGTGAACACCGCAAAAACCAATAAAATAAAGTTATAACAATGTCAACTTGAGCTTTTGCTATTGGAAAATATGAAGGGCACGGAAGATAGAAGTAAGAATAGAGAACTGCAATGGAATTAATAATGGAAGATTTAAGAGCAGACTTACAGTGGTGGCTTGTATTCCAAATATGCTGGTATGATTATAAATGCTGTTGAATGCTGAAAAAGACTGAACTTGTGGATGCTCGCTCAATACACGGACATCTGCTCGTAACATAACCAAAACATTTTCATGCCAACACAAACAAGTTGACGACAGAAATAAAAGAAATCAAGTATCTTGTAGGAGGAAGGGGAAAAACACAAAAACTAAACTTTATATACGGTGCTCTACTAAAACCAAAAGGTAACAGGGTGTGACACTAAAGATAAACTTACATAGTCTTGAATACATTCCTTTCCCAGGGCCACCAGCTGAAAATGATCCACCCCCTCCCATCAGAATCTATAGAATAATTAGATTTATCATTTTACTATCTTGAGAACATGGTAGCAAGTAGGGAGAACCAAAAATATACAATGAAAACTAGCTGTGATAGACAGGATGATCCCAGGAAGAACTTTATGAACTATATTTAAAATTAAAACAAGGTGAAAGAAGAACATTGAGAAAACAGAGAAATTCAAAGTTGAATACAGAATACCTGAAGAACAGTCAAAACTATAGCTTCCTTCTCCTTGTGCCAACCATCAGGTAGTTCAAATGCAAGAGCAAAATGAGTTTGAAACTACAATTGAAAACCATTAGCAAATCAAGACAGGTGAAATATAAACGAAAAAGTCATTTTATGTATTTCTGATGCATACCCCTAAATCGGCCTGACAGCGATAATCACCTCCAGTGTACACAGTTTGTGGCTCTTGGGGACGAGGAATATTGGAAAGGTCTGACAGAAGTGGCTCAGCAACAGATAACAGTTCCTCATGTTCAACACCAGATGCTGCCAGTAGTCAAGACGACCTTGAGCGGTACCACGGAACCAGGTGAAATCCGGGCCATGAAATCCCATGTCCCTCAAGTTGTAATTATAAATAAACTCTTAAAAGGTTTTGCTCTGCTTGGAAGAAGGAACACAACCCATACGATCAGTGACATGAAGAGTGGCACTGAAATCTCCAAAAAAAAACCCAAGGGGAATTGATATTATCCGTTAGATGACGTAAATGAGGCCACATGAGTTTTCGCCTAGCCTTATTTGGGCTAGCGTAAATCGCAGTGGCGAGGAAAGTAGCTTCATTATTGATTTTGTGAACCCGACAGTGAATGAATTAAAAATGATTGAAGATGATATCAACAGTAATAGAATTGTACCAAGCAAGCCAGAGCCCACCAGAAAAGCATACAACTTCGATCCTGTGAGAATTAGAAAAACCAAGCGAGGCAATGACGGAATCAGCTCTGTATCCACTAATACAAGATTCCAGAAAGACCACCAAATCATGTCTATAATCTCGCAATAATTGGTTTGATGCTAAAAAAAAGCAGGGATCACCGCTGAAAAACCAAGCTAAATTTTTTTAGATTAATAATAATAACAATAATAATAAAGGAATAGATAGGGTACCCAGAATCAATTGAGTATCTCCATATCATGGGCCTCGCTTGCATCATGGTTATTTACTTCTGAAGAAACATGGAGAGCTTTGGAAATGTTAGTCCATAACTTGATTTTCATTCTGGAAATTAAATCCATTTGAGACCGGTCTGGATGGTCACCCAGAGGTCGAGGTTGGGCATTATTATAATTCAAATTGGTCTTATTCGAAATTGAATGGATATTGGGGTCTGAATTCTCTGACATTACAACATCATAATGCTTGGTTTTATCTAATGATGAGGTTTTGCGATGTGCAATTCTTGAGCTTCTTGCTTTGAGTGTGCTACGAGAGAGGACGGAAAAATCTAAGAGAGTGGCTTGGAGGGTTCGGCGTGCGGTGATGGTCTTCGGGACTTTTGCGATAACAGGTAGTTTGCCTTTTGGTTTAATGAGGGCTCTCGGTTGTGTCATATTTTTGGCAAGTTGGTGACTTGAGGAAACAGGATTGTTATTCACATGTTGGGCTGATTGGGGGTTCTCGGTTGTTCCTACTTCTGTGATGACTTCTTCAGCGAAAGAATAAAAAATCAGGTTAAAGCGGGATGCGATAATGTTTAGACCAATCAAGGAACCACTATTTTCTGTTTGTTTCTTGTTGCTTCGGCGTTGACGACGCTCAACTACCATCCAAGGCCCGAAGGGGGTGGTGTTATTTTGCTATTATTAGTAGCATTGGAGTGCTCAACGTTTTTAGTCACGGGTTATTTGTCTTTTTTAGCTTGAGGGACAGGGTTTAGGTTCAGACAATTCTCTTGAGAGTGCCCCCACTTCCCACAATTGAAACACACTATCGGCAGTGACTCATTCCACAATATGTTTCTATTAATGATCAGTTTAAAGAGTGGCTTACTAAGATCGATGTCTATTTCCATTCGCGCAAACCTTCCTAGACGTCCACTATCCGTCTGATAATCAAGCTTGATTATGTTATAGATTGAGAGAAAAAGAAAAGATTTAAGAGAAGAATTTATACGAGAGAGAGCTGATAGAGAAGAAAATTCATCATTCATTGCATAAGGAATTTTTTACAACCAAGTCTGTTAATAATTTAGTTACAATTACCACTCATTTCATGCCAGTTGTCCCGACTATATAACAGATTGATTCTTCTCTTTCTTTTCTTTCTCAGGTATTGGGCCTTTGGTATTGGGCTGCTCCTTCAGACCTCCCTTTTGCTCAGCCTGCTCCTCTGATAAGGTAAGTGACCCTGTGCCTCTCACACTATCGAAACGATTTTTCCTTAAAAGTGAGATTTTAAAAACCACATTAATTCTTAATTATCCTCTTTCAAATGATTTTTAAATTAAAAATAAATGTGATTTAAAAGACCTCTCGTTTCGAAAAATTTTGGATTTCCTTTATGAATAAAAGCGTATGGTTCGATGAATCGCCACCAATCTTTAATTAGGGTGTGATTGGGCACCCAAAAATGTTTTGTCATTTTAAATAAAAATTAATTTTAATTAAAACAACAAATTGAGGTCTACGTTACCAAAAATGAGTTCGGGAGTCGGTTACGTGTGGGGAATGATTAGCACCCCACAGCGCCCTAAATCGGTACCTCGTCGATTAATTAAATGTCTTTGCAATGAAATTTATAAGTTCGATTTTAATTTGATTTATGATCCCCAGCAACACAACAACATACGAATTTTACCATATTCAAAAGGCATCAAAAATAGATTAAATTAACATTATCCAACATTTAGAAAGATAAAGAATATTCGATTATTTAAAAATATCGAGACCAGATCTTAAACAATTATAACAACCTTTTCTCGATAAATTTAAATAGCTGAATATTTCTTTTTCTTCCGTTCCCAAATTTTAAAGTGATTGGATCAATTTTTAGGCGTCACTAATGGGATACACTTTTATTTTAAAATCGTTAAAGCTGACCTCAAATGCGTTATGACAACCCACTTAAAACGATTTTAAATTAAAAGGGCATTACCCTTAATCCAATTATGTAATAATATTGATTTATACAAATGAGGATATCAAACATTTCATATAAAAAATGACGCCATGTGATTTGCTACTGAATTATTTGTATATTCATACATATGTAAACATATCACCATGCGAAATAAATATAAACAATTAATTTAATAAAATCAATCTAACAATAGACTAGATTTAACTAAATTTAAACTTAAAGAATTAATCTAAAAAACTCTAAACTATGACTAAAGTATTTACAATCTAAATCTATGGACTAAAATAAATTAACATAATTACTAATATGGAAATTAAAAAAAAACCCTAAACATGCATCGGATTGTAATGGAAAATTTTCAAAATAACAAACCAAATGTTAAAAATACAAAAATAAATTAACTTGATTAAAAACAAGGACTAAAATAAAACATACGTTGAATGTGAAGGGACTAACCTTAAATATCCCTAAAATTATGACTAAAACTTAAATTTTGAAAATAACGAAATCAGGACAACTACAAAAAAAAGGAAATTCGAAAATGGTCTGTACAGGACTAAAATATAAATTATCACTAAAAGTAAGGGACCAAATGATTTTATCCTAAAAATTCAATGGCTGTAAAACTAATTTACCCAAAACAAAAAAAAAATAATAAAACCTAAATAAACTAAACTATCCTAATTTCACGCAGAATATGCACAAAGCTTAGCTCCCCCTCCCTTCTCTCCATTTTCCATCTTTCTCTCGGCCACGCACAGCGTCGCTCTCGACCACCATAGCTACCGGCCTCCTGGCTTCTCCACTCCGGTGAGGCCTAAATCTTCCCTACCTGACACTATAGACAACCACAGAAGTAAAAAAAAAACAGACTTTGTTTCCTCCATACCCATGAACGCCGTCGTGACACCCAAAACCAAACACCCCGATCGTCACTTTCGACTGCCAGTTAACCCAGAAATGAACCTGAATAGACCCTAAACTCTCTTATTTTCACTATTATAAACCCCCCAAACACTAAGACCATGTGCACCCTCAAACTTCTAAGGCCGACGGGTTCAACTCCAAACAACGACGCATTGCGAGGTAAACTATCAAGACCCTAATCTTCTTATTTTATTTTACTGATCATCGTTTTAATCTCAGACTTATATGGTTTCATAACAATAACCCCAGTCCTTATCCCCATCAATTAAAACCCCGACCGACTAGGATGTAACTACCAAGTCTACCGTCATCCACATCTAAGGTAATTTTCTAATTCTTTTCTCTGTTATTTTTTATGCTTTGAAAGGAAAACAACAAGCCACGTATACATTACTGAGTATTTTGAAAAATAAAGAAAGTAACGAAACTAACCTGCTTATGGATCGTTTATATTTCCTTCGAAAGAGATAGGGAAGACCCCTGTTATACTGCTTTTTGATCTTTGAATACTGAAAAAATGTTGTTTACACACTGTTTTATCTGTTGCTCTGCTGTGTAAAACGAATGAAAAACAAAGAAAGAAAAAAAATCTTTCGTGCTTCTCCCAATTAAAAGAAAAATGAAAAGAGGAATCAATCTCTCATGTTTACACTGTTATCGAAAGATACAGATCAGAAAACTCAGTTTACAAGTGTCTCTTTATTCGTAATGGTAACCATTTTGTTTTCAATATGGGAGAAGAAAACCCCCCTCTACAAACTGCTCTCCCCACTTACAAAACTGTTTCATTCATTTTTTTTGTAACTCCCACGTTGTGATGAATTTCCTTTTATCTGCTCATTTCTTTTTCCATTTTCATGCATCGCTGACCCCTTTTCTATTTTGCATGTCACGCTGGCACATCGAAGCAGTTGCACGAGGAACGGGGCTATTAGCCTCTAGAAGTATGGATGGCTTTGGTTTGGGGTTACAGGCTAGATTTGGGCTTGTTGTAAAGCCTGCAAGCAATGAAAACATAAGTAATATTAATAATAATACTAATAATTTTAATTTTATTTGTTATAATAATAATAATAGTTGTAATATAATATTAATAATTATAATATAATATTTATAACCCGGACAAAAATGGGTGTCTACAACTGCCCCTCTTTGCCCATTCTTGTGTTAACAAGAATAGGGCAAAGATAAAAAAGACAGTACGTTTTGGTCCAACTCTATCTTCATGCTTTAAAACTTGATGAGGGATCTACTCCCTCTTCTTTGAACAATCTTCGACCAGCATGTTTGCTCCCTCTTGCTTCAGGGAGTAGAACTCGAACAATCTTCTACCAACGGGTTCGCTTCACTATTCTTCCATGAAGGTTCAACTTCGAAGGTCAAACCTCTCTCTTCTTGGGACTTTGAATTGGTTAATGAATCATCGTGCACATTTCCTTTTAATCAATTGATCTTTTTCTTTGTACTCGAGAACCTTTGCTTTCCTCCCACATCTGATGATCTGATGGTTTGCTCCAACACTCTTCCGTGAATGCTTAAAATGGCCTGGAGGACTTATCATCTTGCTTGAAAGACTTACAAATGACCCGAAGGATTTCATCATCATGCTCGAAAGACTTAATAATGCACTTACTGATGGGTTTGCTTCACTACTCTTCCGTGAAGGCTTACAAATTACCCTAAGGATTTCTAATCATCATGCTCGAAAGACTTACTGATGGCCCTAAGGATTTAAGCATCATGCTCGAAAGACTTATTGATAGCCCAAAGGACTTACTAAGTGCGAAATTTTGGAAAAAAAGAAAAAACAAAATCCTTTTTAGTTTTCAAAGGTTTCATTTTCTTAAAGCATCACTTTCTTATTCTTCAAATTCATGAGAAAACATCCTACCCGAATGTCTTATGGATGTCCCGAATGACTTATCATCTTGCTCTAAAGGCTCACAGATGACCCGAAGGATTTTTAATCATCATGCTC